TCGTTATCTTCGCTCTAGCCCTTAATGATTCAGAAGGACGCCGCTGCTTAGGCCTTATAGGTTCCTGAGGTACACTCCTCTGTCTAGATATTTGCAATGAGATTCGTTCAAGCTTCATCCATCAGTTAGTCTGAAATTCAATTCATTTTTCTGAAAACCCAGTCAGAAACCCCGCTTCAGTTATAAAAAATAATTTAGCTGACTTAAAAGTTTACATTTTGCCGCTTCGCAGTAGAACTGCCTTTTCCACTTTTCTCGTATGCGCAAGAGCGGTCAGTCGCGTGCCTGGCTGTCATACATGATCTTCGATATCTTGGCGAAAGCAGTAACTCACTTAATCTTTGGTCATTGGCAAGGATAACGCGATCCTTCCCTGAAGTGACTCGACAAACTCCTATCGTTATAGTCATGCTAGAGGATCTACCCATGTCTATTCGCCCAATGTTCTCCCTATAAGCTGCAACGTGTTTTCAGACCGGAATATGTTTCTGTTGTTTATTTGCCCTCTACAAAATGATGTACATGTTCCTCTCACCTATGCTGTGGGCCGTGCTTGTCGGCACCGTACTATTTCCATTCAAAAAGAACGTCACCACTGTTGTTCAAGGTATGAAACCTACTTTGTGTTAGGATGACTTTCTCCTTGAGTCAGTTCGCTTTAGGTTGGTTGACTGAACTTCAAGAGAACAATACCCCTTTGGTGGTCGGTGTTCTAGCTATGCCAATATGCGCCCTGAAATCATTTTCTGAAAAAGTTTACTCAACGGCGACAAGGTTTGTTGTTCATCATTGTGGTTTATTCTCTTATCTTGCTCGTTAAATGAGAAATTCTGAAATTTAGCGCAACAGGGCTTCAAATTGTGTGCGCTTACATCGCTCTAAAGGTGCTTACCTATGAGCGGACATTCGCTTACGTAATCGGATTCCTGGGTCGATTGTATGGCTATATCGATGGCTTCATTGTCTTTTTCTCGGAGGCTTGGGTGAGTTTACAAATTTCGTCTTTACCGCATTCGCTACGGTAGAAGTTTTGTACTTCGTTTGACGGTTTTGTGAACACTTGGAAGAAGGGTTTTTGTAGGTATTTCCTCTGATGACTTTGTACTTTTGTGCATATACCGCATGGATCTTTGTTCAACGTCCTGGAACAGTTAATAAGAAGGTTGCGCGAGTGCTCTCTTTGCCGTTGTGGTATGTTTCTAATAGTAGTTTATAGTTTATCAAGGGTTATGATAAACTGCAGGATATACGTGCTTTCCGCGATCTCTCTGTACTTTGGCGTCTTTAAAGCGGCAGTGTTTGCTGCTTGCTCCGTGGTCTTGGGTCTTCTGTCAGCTGGCGCTTGGGCTGTGGACGAGCCGAAATCACCTGATGAAGGTAAATTGTCTGTGTAAACATTTGAATCTTTTCACCTTTTTCGGAATTATTTTGTTTTCTAAAAAACGTAGGTTAATATCAGCAAAAGTCAACAGAACCTTTTGGATGAACTTATTTTCACTCACCTCAACGGTTCATGTTGATGCAACGCCTTTGAATATCATTTCACTATTCTCCCTTTTTGACTTTAATACAGCTAGAGAACCCAAGTTCCTGTATTAGGTTGTTGTTCTCGAGCCACTGACTTTTGATGTTATTTACTAAACAGCTCCAACGGTGTAAATCTGCGAGCTTATTTTCGTTGATTTTAAACCTTATCCGGCCATCCTCCTAGTTTATCCAGTACTAATGATGATTAGTTTTCAGGATACGCAGAGGAGGTGAATATCGAAACTGAAAGCGAAACGGCGAAGTTGATCGAAAAACCTCACGAAGGTAGTGGGTTACGAACTAACTATGATATGTACTCATTTGGTTTATCCTGTCCAGTTTATTCCACATGTTTAGTTATTGATCGGAAGTGCCCTTTTACAGATACAACATCCGTGGTTTCCCTTGACAAAGCGCTTGGTAGCGACTCGCTTATTCTAATTGTTGCTGGTTTGTGCGCCTTGTCTTGGATGGTGCGACATGATTCTGCACTTCTTTTCATTGCTATACCCTTCTTCATAGCTGCTATCAGCAAAATAGGTAATTTTCATGAGTTTTAGCATTGCTAATACTGCGTTCCGTTACAATGAGCTCTATGCAGGTTGTCATTGTGCGCAAACTTTCAAGGTTGAAGGCACAGAACGAAGACGTAACTTTTCTTGAACGGTTTTCTAGATAGGGCTTTTCTAGATTCGTGTACAACTAGTCGTAGATTCTTTAGAATTAATACAATTTATCGAATAACTTGCTTCGAAGGCTTTCACTTGTTGAGTGTAGATGTTCTCCGACGTTTAGGATCAAATAGTGGTTTCTTCTCAGCAGTCGGTGGAGCTCTTAATTCTTTATGGAGTAAAGTATACCCTCCGATCAAGAAGGTCATTGATATATCAGTCGCCGGTTCTTTGCGAAAGTTCGTGAAGGTACTGTTACATTCGTAATATTTAGTTGTTTGGGCGCCATCCACCGCACATGGACTTGTATAGCTTACGAGTTTTCCAAAGCATTGTAGCCAGGACAGTGTTTCGAAGCATTTCTTCTCAGGTGCTATTTACTTCCGATCAGATGCTGGCTTCATCTCTGCATGACAAAATGGATGTTCTCTCATCTGTAGTCGTCATGGGCTTTCTAGCATTTTTTGCCCTTCTCACCGTGTTATTCGTTGGATTTCAACTTCACAATGAAACGGTTGATGGCTTTCTCTGTGAGATCTTGTAATTGCTCAGCAGCAAAGGGCCATTCTTATAGGTGCACATCATTCGACTTTCGTCGAGCATAATCAATTCTCGACCGGACTGGCTCAGTGCTGCGAGGAACTTNTGCAGATCTCTTCTTCAATATGCTGTCTTTCATTAGGGCTACGAACAAGGTCGCGCATGGTTAGCATCGAACGTGCGTTCTCTGGTGCCTCAGGATACCGTGAGAGCGGATATGCTCGAGAAACAAGTGATGCAGGTGATTAGAAAATTTCTTTCTCCGTTAGAAAAGCAGCGTTTTCCCGCGTTTATACCTCAGCCCTTTGCGATTGTAGAAAGGCTTTGACTCTTCATCATATGCTCTGCCCAGTGTGAGATGTAGCTCAAAGACAGTTGTAAGGATTCCGTCAATAGTATAGCAGTGCTTGATTTTCATTTTGAAAACTGGCATTTTTGTATCAACATGATTTGGAAGTAAGTTGTGAGAGTTTCAACTGAAGCAAAAAAAAAAAGAACTTTATAAATTATGAGCACCGTATAAAATCGTTTCTCTATATAGAAAATGAAAATTTTACTCCCTTGAATTGCGAGTACGCTGGTTATTTCATGCACCATTCGAAGAAATTTCAAGTTTCTACGAAACTTTGAAGTTGGCTTCTACATTTACTCTGATTCAGATTGGGTTCAACTTGCCAAGTGGGAGGCCTGGTCAGCATAAAATAGCCAAGCGGCAACAAATTGAGATGAAATCAACAATTCACATAAATACCAAATAAAGATGTGCCCAATTTATAGTCACAATTCCTTCCGAGCTTTTATGTTTTCCTACTATAGAACTTACCGGCTTGATCTTCTACTTAGCAAGCGTGAAGTTCAAACTAAATCATTGCGAATGTAGAGTTAAAACTCATTGCTTGTAAAGCAGAAAAATATTTCTCGAAAGTATAATGTAACTTGAAGTTTGAGATTTAGGAGAGACAAAGAAACATCTATCCGAAAACTATATGATATTGCCAAACCCAGTAACTCACACTTAATCAATCGCTTATTGATACCTTTCAGGATATCGAGATCTTTTCTTCGTGTGAGAGTGATGAAATGCCGGCTAATTCCCCTTTTTTGAAAAAGACACCCGACAAACTGTATCTTCACTTGCTGAAGTCTCATCACTGTGCTTAAATTTTATTTAAAATGTTCACTACTAACCTTGATGGGGACTATGTTCCTGAAGAAAAGGGATCTCAGTGGTGGATCATGCTGTCAATAGTTTTCTATACTACCTCCTTTCAGATTGTGGACAATCTGTACAAAATGTGGGAGGAAAGGGACAGTGCCGCTCCGAGTACGTTTTTTTCCTTGTTCATATCTTTTACTATATCCCTTGTGTTTAAATTCATCGTTACTATTGTAAAAAATTTAGCCACTGCTTCACCTGAAGGTGAAGTACGAGACTGGAAAGCGCAGTTAATGTCAGTCACTGATTTGCGTGCATTCAAAGAGGAAATCACTCTCATAGTGAAGGAGAATCTTGATACTTTGATGGGTGTAAGTTTCTTGAATGCTACTTTTTTCAGGTTTTCGACCGTTTCTTTACTTTAAATAAGTGGGCAATGAGTTTTAAGAGTACCAAGATGCCCCTGAAATGAGCTGTTCCAAGTGAAGGTCTAGGCTTCAGGGGACTTTTTTGGCTTCATTGGACTAAGCTGCCTCGAAACAATATTCTCGTTTTCTTAAATTTTCGTAATGTGCATTACAATAATGAGGTTTGATTTTTTGCCTTTTACAAAATGATGAAATTTTTTAATTCTTCCAGGTCAGTGTATTTTAAATGAATCGTTGCTCGCATGTAGACACCATTCCATGAAGTGATTTGACAAAAGTATTTGGCTAACTTGGGAAGCTGCGATATGCGTTCGATTGCTAACAGATTTCAATGTTATTGGCGTCGGAGAGAATCTAATCTCTATTTCCCCGCAATTATGAATGTGTTTAGTGTCAGACCAGCGATTTTTTTTNTTTTTTTTATTTACGATGATCTCTTGTTTGAGAGCGCGCTGAATTTCATAACGTATGTAGCAGTTATGGTAGTACCTTAACTTGGAACGGCTCTTTGCAGGGATAACATTGCAATTTAGGGCCCTACATTTTTCATCGGAATCTTTTAGGTAGCTCGTTCAATATGGTCTGTGCTGTCAGTGAATCTTACTTTCGTTCTATCGCTGATGGCTGCCTTGGCTGGGCTTTTGTTCAGCTTCGGAATGGACATACTTAACACCATTATCGAAATAGTAAGTAGATTAAGTGATTTTTTTGCTTTCATTTTTTTTTGTTTGGTTGTGGCCTGTGAAGATATCTACGAAGCCGGTTCATGTACAAGTCGGTGTTTTTTGTCATCTCTTGTGAGCACGGTTATAATCAATGTATTCGGTGGGATAGAAGGACTAGTGAACACCGTCGGGTATCTATGCGTGGTTTGATCGTCAGTTCGTAAGCATAGTGATGGCGCTATTTGCATTACCTCACCTCCGCTTCAGAAATGTTTAGCAGTGCCAATAATTCTTGATTCTGCTGGAATAATTTTGGGTGCTGCTCATTTCAATGGTTTAATTGTAAATGTGAGTATAATTTGTAGATTGTCTTCCTCACGATGGTCTACTATCTTCTGTCAGCATCCAGGGAAAGATGGTTACCGATTCAGTGGTTTAGCGATATGGCAGAGTTGGCTGCCATCTCTGATACTCCTAGTTCTACCGCGAAAGATGGTGAATCTCCGTCGGTAATGGAGTCCGATGTTACTGGTGCAATAGAGCAAGCAATTTTGTGAGGATTACACTCTACTCATTCTTAATTTGGAAATAGTGTTGACACACATAGTAAACATGCTCTATCACTCATGTTTATAATAAAATAATTCTGCATTTCAGCGGAGTTTTCGTGTTGTCTTTAAAGATGGCCGTTTTCTATGGGCTGTATACGTACTTCGTNGTTACCGATACAGTGGTTTAGCGATATGGCAGAGTTGGCTGCCATCTCTGATACTCCCAGTTCTACCGCGAAAGATGGTAAATCTCCGTCGGTAATGGAGTCCGATGTTACTGGTGCAATAGAGCAAGCAATTTTGTGAGGATTACACTCTACTCATTCTTAATTTGGAAATAGTGTTGATACATGTAGTAAACATGCTCTATCACTCATGTTTATAATAAAATAATTCTACATTTCAGCGGAGTTTTCGTGTTGTCTTTAAAGATGGCCGTTTTCTATGGGCTGTATACCTACTTCGTCCACAGCCTCTTCGATCTGAACATAGTGTTCGTCCCGTGCTGTAGGTTTCTTATTCTATAAATTCGGATTTTTCGCTCTTTTATTTGAATTTTTTTCATTTTCAGCTTATATGATCTCCTTACAGTTGAGTATTTGTTTGGTAATATTTCGGAGGCTTTGGCTGCATCACTACTGATAGAGTGCTTTTACTACTCTCCCTTTCTTGGTTCTGATTAAACTAGAAAATGATGGGTTCCTAGGAGTGAAACATTATGGCAAGTAGTCCGGTCTAGCCATGCCTGAACAAAATTTGCAAAAATCTCTCCGATTGTGTTTTTATAAATGTGGGCATGATTCGTGCAAAGCGGTGAATGAAAGAGCCACTATCCATGATTAAAGAAGTACGGCAAAGGAGGATGATCTGGTCACTCCTTCATCGCTTCCGTTTATAACACCCCTACTGCAAACTCAAAATATATACCTTTACGTGTTACATGAAGAAAACAAGAATTGCTTCTAATTGCTTCGAGCAGGGTCTAATGTTCTGTTTCACTTTTCTACTCTTACAATTAACTCCACCTTGTTTGAAGCCGGGTGTCACTTTTTCGCCAGATCATTCACTATATTTGCAGTGCTTGCTGCTCTCTTCGCCGCCATTCCGATTATGCCGCCGTACATTGTGGCCATTTTTGGATTTTTAGAATTGTGGCTGGTAAATAAGTTTTGTAATGTATTAGTAATTACGCGAAAGATGGGATTTGTTTGTAAATTTGCAGGTGCGAGATGAGTTGTCGGTAGCGATTGTGTTTGCCATTATGTCGTTTGCACCGCATATGTATGTGGATGCTGCTTTCTACAGAGAAGTAAAGTATGTAGTATGTTCATTCGCGTGGTTCAATTGAAACTGCAGCGCTTCGGTTCAGGTTCTCTCATCCTTATGTGACTGGCCTGTCAATCCTTGGAGGCATGTATTGGCTTGGATTACAGGTATTAAGTTGTGCTTTTTTTACTTTTCCTTTTGGGCTTAATCAAGAATTCACAATTTGCTTCAACCATTAAAGGCTTCGACGAAACGTTATACTCCAGTGAATTAGGCACTTGAAGGGTTCTCTCAAACCATAAGCTTGCTGATACCACAAACTTCATGCGAAGCCATACGTGCACGTTGTCCTTTTATTCCTACCAGCTAATTAGTTGCTTTGTTCAACCGGTTGTCATGAAATAGTCATACTGGCAAATTTGTCACCTTGACAGTGCTTTTGGAATGCTCGAATTGCAATCAGTAGAATCTACAAGGTATTGCGGTACACAAAGAAATACGAATTAGAACTCTTCACTCCATAAACGTGATTTTCATTAACTATTGACGGGAGCATAGACGACCTAAGTCACCCGAATGGGATTTGGATCTCACGGGCCATATTTGGGGCGTCGAGGTGCCCTCCATCAAGTTCTCATGCTCATAGTAGATGTAAAGAGAGTAAATGGACGGGATTTTTTTTATGGTTTCCAATTATTCCAAGCGTTTATGCCTAATTGCTGTTCTTTCAGGGAGCGATAATCGGACCGATAATACTCTGCTCGTTCTTAGTTCTTATTAACGTCTACATGCAGTTCGCGAAACCGAAGGGAGAAAAGATGAAGACAGGTTGATTCCTAGGAAGATCATAATATCGTGCTCACCTTTGTTTGAGCTCACGATTTTTGAATCTCGCCTTGCCGAAAACTTAGCCGACCCGATGCAATTTCTCATGATGACATATTTACCGGTGTAATTTTTTTGCTATTTTCTCACCAGTTTATATACTGCTTTTATTCAACGGGCCTTTAGTTGTGTGGTTTTATTATTCCTTATGTGGATATTCATACGTACCGAGTAGCATAGACTTTTGGACTGATATCCAAGAGGTAATGGAAAAACAAGTGAGGGAACAGCTTTGCAACAAGGTGTAAAGGTTTTTTTCTCCGGTCTCGCCTAATATGACTTGGTGCGTTCATCTTTCACTTGCTTTCTCTGTCATACTTGGATATCATTTCAAGTTTTTCTTGCCTTCTAGTACTTAAGTGCTGAACTCTCTTGAGCATCCGCAACCGTTATACTCGCATTTTCAACTTCCTTTACGTATAACATTCAATTTTTTCGACGTATAGTATTCAGGTCTAGTTCTTATAACAACTTTTGTAATTTTCGCGTNGCCATTCCGATTATGCCGCCGTACATTGTGGCCATTTTCGGATTTTTAGAATTGTGGCTGGTAAATAAGTTTTGTAATGTGTTAGTAATTGCGCGAAAGCTGGAATTTGTTTGAATATTTGCAGGTGCGAGATGAGTTGTCGGTAGCGATTGTGTTTGCCGTTATGTCGTTTGCACCGCATATGTATGTGGACGCTGCTTTCTACAGAGAAGTAAAGTATGTAGTATGTTCATTCGCGTGG